AACACCAAACCCTAAATGGAAAGAGCCAGAGGGCATCACAGCAGGAGGGGGCGGGGAGGAAAGGCTCATCCTGGAACCCAAATCACTGCTTACAATTGTCCCGCTGCACACCTAGGGGTTAAAAGACACACTTGTGTGTACAGCTGAGATAGATTCAGCTAAACGGCTGCCTAGTGTTCCTGTGTAGCTTTTAAAGGATCTCAGAGATTTTATCTTTCACTTACTTGGGGCTTTAAATACATCTCAAAATGAAAATTTAAATGTGTTCAAAAAGTAAATTTCAGCTGGGAACCTCAAAAATATCTCTTCACTCTGGTTTGGCAGATGCCTTTGTCCCCTCCCGCCTCCAAATGTAGCTTGCTTTTCTCCAGCCCGCACACATCACGATGGATGGTTATTAGAAACACAGTCAGTCCCTTCCCATTTGTACCCCGCCGCCGCCACAGTCAGGGGAACAGTCTCACTAGCCAGGGCATCTTCATCCTTCCATCCTTGCTCCCAACCGCGGGAGGAGAGGCTGTTAAAGGGGCAAGGGCAGCCGTGAAGAACGTTTGCTTCCTATCGTTCCAGCTGCCTCTCCCAAAGCCACCTTAAATAAACACTTCCCCGAGGAAAAACGGTTTTGCACATGTAACCTCAGATGTCCTTAGCCCTCCTCCTTTTCCCCATGCCTCTGGGTTCTACACTCTAAATCCCTTCCTACAGAAGTTCTGAGCCCCTGCTCCTGGCAAGGCCAACTGTACCCACCCTTCCTCTGGTGCATGCTGGGAGTAAAAGGCAGGCTGGTTGTTCTAGGGCCCCAGGACTTGGAAAGAGGCCTGGTGCCTGAGAGGTGGGTGAGAGGCGCGTTTCTGCTTCCCCTGCCAGCCGCCAGTCGGGAAAAGCCCAGTTTCTTTGGCCGTGCAGTGACAGGTACTGTTCAAATGGTTTTATGTGCTTGTCACACAGCACAGACGAAACACGGCAGGCTCTCCCAGCAGGGGCATGCTCCTTCTCCAAGGCTGCAGGGAACTGCTGGGATGATTAAACATCGCCTTTCAATACAGAGCTTCATTTAAGGTAATGATGACAGAAACAACAGTCTGCATCCTGTGTTCATAATTCCACGTTGGACAGGATCCTGGTTCCGGTACATGGGAAAACCCTGCGGAGCACTGGGTGAAAGTACCAGGTGATGCAATGGAGGAAAACATGACTTTCCCCGGCTCCCAGAAAGGTCACCTCTAAGCCACGAGTCCCTGTCAATCACCAGCCTCTGGGACAATGAAAGGGAAGCTGCCATGTTCTCCTGTCTCCTGTGTAAGCAGACGGGGCTTGGACCGGGCATTAAAATGCTTTTCTAATGAGGCTCTTCTTGACAGATAAACACAAAGAGGCAGAGCCGCAGCTGAGCCCATTTAGAGGCTTCAGGAAGACTGACAGGGAGCCCTGCCAAGCCAGCAAGCCGGACCTGCACAGGACAGCGCACACACAAAGAGCTTAAGCAGCTGTAGCCAGAGTTATTTCTAACAAGTATATTAATGTGTTACCTGTCTGACTAAATGTCGTCCTCGAGTGCAAGGAGGAAGACAGTCATGGCGGAGTCCAGTCATAGGAATGGGCCCCACTGTGACAGAGGCACACCCGCAGACTATAGGCCACGTAGTAGCATAGGGATCACACAGAATGAAACCACCACATTAGGAAGGGGGCGGCACAGGCCCGGTTCACCTGTGTGTGCTATTACTTTTAAAGGGAGAATGAATCCCAAAATAACAGACAAAAGCTAATCAGATCTCCAATATAATCTCGGCTCAGGTCAAAGTTCCAGATGAGAACCACCCCCACTGCCATTACGGTTTTAGCACTGGAGACTGCCAAGTCTAGCAGGTGGGTTAAGAACTTGACTACTATAAGCTGAATCCTCATCATTAGCTGGGCTCTCTGTAAAGCCAGTGAGAATAGAAATGGCCCACAAACTCCCTGGCGAGTCTTACTGTTCACCTAATGAGAAAAAGACGTGGTAAATTTTAAATTAGTTTAGTACGGAATAGTTTTGTTCTGTTTTCCCAAGTATACTTTGAAATTTTTATGAATTTTGAGAAATATTATGGGTTTGTTTGGTTTTAATATAGCCTTAAAGTAAAATTGCTTTGGGGTGAAACACTAAATACAGCTAGTAGCAGCTAGAAAGGAGAGAGAATGTGTACCGGGAAAGAATGGGCAGAATGTACCAGGAAATGGGTATGGAAGGGCAGTCAGAAAACTTAAGGTCTGCTCTGTGAAAGGCTCAACTCCCCACGTGTCCGAACACACTGGCCCTCACCGTCAGCATCCAAGGTGTCAATGAGGTGCTGCCATGTAAAGTCCGGGGTACCACCAGGGTGCAACTAGGCTTTCTGCAGTGACGGACATTCTCTGCTCTCAGCTGTCAATCATGTAGCCATCATGATTAACCATGAATGGCTATGAACACTTCAAAGCAATTAAGTGACACACCAGAAAGATTAAGTTTCTTTTATAGACTTTTAATTAAGCTACAATTAAATTTCCACATCTGATTGGCAACTGCCAGACTGGGTCTAGATTAATTTCATAAGCTTTGTTTGAAACCTCACCAAACTGTTCATTTATATTTAATAGATTTTCCATATAGGAATTAAACAAAATTTCTCCCAAACACAGCCTACCCCACATCTCTTGCATTTCACTTTTTTTGTTTTGTTGCTTGGTTTTTCAAGACAAGGTTTCTTTGTAGCTTTGGAGCCTGTTCTGGAACTCTGTAGACCAGGCTGGCCTCAAACTCAAATAGATCCGCCTGCCTCTGCTTCCCAAGTGCCGAGATGAGAGGTGTGAGCCACCACAGGCATTCCACTTTTATAACTGTCTGACTCATTGCAAGCTCTCTGCTAGGTCAGACACTCCTCCAGCATGGTGCAGGATGCCTTGGTCTCCACTCTGTCCCTGCACCTTGTGCTCTCTGTATGTATCCTTGAACCAGGTAAGACATCAGAGAAATGAGGCAGAGAGGACAGTGCCAAGATGGATGCTCTCAGGTACTTGGACTCTTTTTAAAAGTGATTCAGCTCCGTAACACCAGTGAGCAGTGCGGTAGGCAGCCAGTCTCTCATACTTTAGTCTCTCATACTTTAGTCTCTCGTACTTTAGTCTCTCGTACTTTAGTCTCTCGTACTTTAGTCTCTCATACTTTAGTCTCTCATACTTTAGTCTCTCATACTTTAGTCTCTCATACTTTAGTCTCTCATACTTTAGTCTCTTGTACTTAGCAGTGATTCTTGGGGCAGGATGTACATGTTCAATACTTTTAACAAAACTTTGGCTTCAATATTTTCTTAAAATGAGTCAATTCTACATCATTAGGTACTCCTTTATGCTTCCTTTTAAGACTCTTCTTAAAAAATTATCTCACATATACCAATGTTCATAAACTGCATACAGGACAGACTGAGTCAGGGTGGGAGTATATATACCACTTTCTCCCGGCTTTTCTAACAAATGAAAAGATATGTGTAGGGAGAGATCTTTGATACCTGTGCCAAGGACCATGCCCGCTTTGGGCATGTCTACAGGCGCATACGGACATGGGAATAAAAGGCTGTGCAGGGGAGCCTCACACTCTCTTACGGGCTTCCGGTGATCCGGTCTTGGAAAGCTGCTGACTCACCTGGGTGGCCAGTTTCTCTTGTAAATACCTTCCACAATAAATAGTTAGCTATATCCTCTTCAAGCATGTGATTTATTTTACAGTGGCAGATGTGAAAAAAAATGTGTATTTAGAAAGATATATATCTATACGTACACAGATATCTCCCTATATACACATTTACATCTACTCTCACACTGCTGAGCCCCTAATTCTCAAGCTTTTGCTGTACTTTTGGTCTACCTACTTTAGGAGTGAACCCCACAAAGCTATCCGTCCATCAGGGCGGGGACAAAGTAGAGATAAAAGGAAATGAAAGGAAAAGGGGCTTCCCTTTTTTCTCCTGGAAGCCAGGCACGCTTCTAACTCCTGGTCTGTGCGACTCTCTCTCTCTCTCTCTCTCTGGTAAATAAATATATTGTTTTCCATATATAACATCGAATATCGTTATAACCTACTTTGTGGTGGTCAAGAGAACTGGATGAGAAGTCTAGTTCTTTCTAGATAAGTTCCTTGAGAGGTAAGTCACTTACAGCCTCTGGACTTGAGTTTCTGTAGCTAAAGAAGACACCCAACTTCACGAGGCTTGTGGGAAGGGTTAGCTAGTACACAGGCCAGAGAAGCAACAGGAAGATATTAAACAGGTGCCCGGGGCTCATTGAATGGACAGTTGATTTCATCAGTTTCTTGGGAGCACTTTTGGAGGATTGCACATTCTCTTACACAAGACTTCATTATATTCAGGCGAACAGAGCCTGAAGGTCCAGAGGAAGATTTCAGGCCAGCCAATGGGGGTGGGGAGTCAAACAAACAAAAGAATGAGATAAACTGCAACCTGGAGAGATAGGGAAACTTGCTCCAAGAGGAAAGACCTACCTGATGCCCGAGGCAGCCCCACTGAGGCCTCTCTCCTCGCTCTTTGGAAATGTTTCAACCTCGGGCCACCTCTGCAGAAGGCTACATTATGAAATAAGCAAACTCCTATACACCTGTGATCATTTATATATTGCATAACACCCTCACTTATGGTCTATATATCATCAGAGTTTTCAGGCTTATGAGACCATTCGCTGAGCATCCTCCAAGCCTCGCCCTTGGTAAGTTTGATTTCTAGCATCTTCGCCTGTTTTAAGAGCTTCTACAATGCATGAGATGGCATACATAAACAGAATGGAGATAAACGGCCGTGCTCACAGCTTGTATAAAAGATTCCAGCTCCGTATGGCAATAAAACACTCCTTTAAAAAGTTAACCTCTGTATTTTGTCGCTAACTCCCTAGTAGGCAATACTTAAGAGTCAGGATGCTAAGACATAATTCAGCAGGGCAGAAGGGAAGGCCACAGCGAGCATGCATACCTCCGCTTCCTGCAGGGTCCCGTGGTTTATGCACACCATGTCAGGACAAGTGATGGGAGACCCACACCCTTCTCGGATTGAAAGCATCATATACTGTCGCAGGCACTAGAAGAAGAAGAGAGAAAAGCAGATATTTCAAACGTCATATCCACTACAGTAGCGCAAAGGTTACATAAGAGAACATCCACAGCGTCTTCCTAAATTGGCTGTCCTGGGCTTTCTGTACTCAGGAAACATAAGTTATCACAAGTGTGGGTACTAAAGAGCCATCACTTTGGAAAGAATGCAGAGCCAGGCGATTAATTACAGATGACTTCATTTTAAGCGTTTATTCAAGTCAGACTCCCACGTGCTCGCTCGGTTTGTCAGCCATATACTGGGGAAGGAAGACGCGTTTTCAAATTCACAGCAAAGGCCTCCATGTTTTCTCCCTTTTCAAACCTGATTTGCTTTCCCAATTCTGGTTTGTTTGTTTGTCTTAATTTTTGGATGTATTATTTTATTTTATGTGTATGAGTGTTTTTCCTACCTATGTGTCTGTGCGCCATCTGTGTCACAGAAGTCACAAGGGGACCATCCCCCCCCCCATTTCTCTAGCAGCTCCAATTCTGTTTTTAGTCTAGTGGACCTCTCTTATAAGTTTACCTGAAAGTAGAATGGACCTCACTCTGGGGTCCTGGAACTAAGCTACCCAAACAGAATCAAAACACTGGTAAGGACTGAGTTATTTATAGAAACGAGTCAAGGCTCCCTGCTGGCCACTGATAGCAAAGACAGCTTGAAGGACGAGGCCATCCCAAAGACAGGAGCCTTACTGGATGCCATGTTGAGGAGGATTTTATTGTGTTTTGTTTTCTTTTGTTTTGTTTCTGAACATAGGGTTTCACTATGTAGCCCAGGCTGAACTAGAACTTTTAATCCACCTGTGTCAGCCTTCCAAACTGCATGCCCCACCAGGTCCTCCTTGAGGAGCTTTGGATAGAAAAATTAAAGAGTCACCGGGAAACCTGGGGAAGAAGAAATTCTCCCAAGAGGAGATGACAAGGGACACTCTCCACAGACTTGGTACTTATTGATTATTGCACCTGGACCTTGGGCAATGGGTAGAGAGAGTGTAGGAAAGGGGTAGGTCATACCATGTAGACCTCCAATGCCCTCTTTATCCTCCTGACTCAAATACACATGCCCAAAGGGAAAAGAAGGCAGACGCAAGATGAGTTCCACATGCACAGGTGTGACCAAATTGACTTTGAAAATATTCAGAACAAAGTGTTATGGCGTTGCTGGCACACATGGTGTAGTTCGGTCTTCAGGGGTCATACACACACACACACACACACACACACACACACACACATTTCTTGCTTGTCATTATTTTCTTATCAACTACTCTCATAAACTATAGGTGATTTAAGTCACATAATAAGTTATGTATAGATTATACACCAATACTATGCAAACTACTTTACACATTAGGCATTTGCAAGATTGCAGGTTTGGGTATCTTGGAAGGAATATTTGAACTACTTCCCAGCAGACACCAACGGACTACTACGGCTCCACCAAATAAAACTGAAAAAATCCAAGATCTGGCTCTTCAATTTCTACTAATTCCTAATTAGTGAGCCTTCATTTATCTATTTTCATGACCATAAAAAAAAGAAGTCAAGCTCAAATATTTGAGGAGTATGCCCAAATACAATCTAGTTAACTTACAAAATGATTATTTATAGCTGAGAGTCTTTAAAATTTTTACACATATGTATCAACCCTATGCTTTGAAAGCAGGGCCAGCTGGGCATGGTGGCGCACAACTTTAATCCCAGCACTTGGGAGGCAGAGGCAGGCGGATCTCTGTGAGATCAAGGCCAGCATAGTCTACAGAGTGAGTTTCAGGAGAGCCAGGGCTACACAGAGAAACCCTGTCTTATAAAAGACAAAAAAAACAAAGAATCAGTGCTGTGCAGCATTACATAAACCATTAAATCAAAGTCTGTGGTCAGAATTCAGCACAGAATCATGAAATCTATGACTTTTCCTGACCTCTGAAAAATTAATTTTCTTCACGTGAAGATGAAACCCAAGCATCACTGTTATATTTCATTCAAAATTGTGTATTTTTCTAATTGAAATGACTAACAAATCAGTAAGTGTGGGCAACAATGCAATCCAGATGTGTGTCTCTTCGAGGAGTTAGAAGTCCCCTTCTACAAGGAAATTTCTTCCATCACAGCAAAACCCAGAAACTAGCTTAAATATCCATCACAGCCTATTCAAATAAATTTTTCAAAATCATGAAAAGGATTTTCAAGTGATAGTTAAATGACATGAGAACATGCCTTTGACAAAGTATAAAATAGGGAATGGGTATTGGGGAGTGGACATCTACTCCAATCACTTTTATCCTACAAATGACCTCATTATAGATACTAAATATTAACTTTTACTTTCTTGTTCAAGAAATGGTCGACAGTTCCGCTCTAAGATTTACGGTGGCAACCAGGGTCAGTTCCAGGGGCAGTGATCTGTAGGAGAAAGCAGTATCAAGGCAGTAAGGGAATGATCTCCTACAGGCAAAATTCTAGAGGAACTGTACAAACTGTACACTGGATCACACAAGGGCTGTCATCCCAAGGAACCCTGCGAAGGGCTGCCTACCACTCTGCTTCTAGAGACTTCCCTGTCTCCCATCAGCCACAGGGTTCCAATATTATTGCCTTTATCCTGTCCTGCCAGCTGCCACTGAGAAACTGAGGTAAACAGGCTCTAAAAATATGTGTTGTCCAGGCTCAAGGGGAAAGTGTGTGAAGAAAAAGTGATACTGTGGGGTAAGCTTCAGAGCATAGCAACATAGCAGCTGAGGGTTACATCTGCTGGCAGAGGCACATGACTCCACCTAGGGCCCAGATGCTTGCCCTCATTATTTGTTTTAACTAGGGAAGATAATAGTCCGTCTAGTCTAGTTATAGGGTCATCTGTACACAGAGAGAGACAGAGACAGAGACACAGAGACAGAGAGACAGATAGAGATAGAGACACAGAGAGAGAGAGACAGATACACATCCTTAAAACGAGGCCTTTGTAAGTTTCTGAATTGCTTCATCTTAGACCAGTCCACCCTTTGGAATTCTGACATCTCCTTTCCAGACACTCTCCAAGGAACCGGTTAAACCACCTGGGGCAGAGAAGCTGCCCAGACAGAAAAGGTGTGTGAGCCAGAACATTCCGCCAGCCTGGAGACACACTTCTCCTCAGGACTCTCAGAGGGTACAGAGAAAGCTTAATGTTATGTAGTAACTAAAGAGCTATCACTCAAGTTTAATAGGCAAAAATAATTACCTAAACTTACATTGAAAATTTGTACAGTTGAACCATCAAGGTTCCCCCGCTGGCTTATAGTAGATGCTCCATTTGCTAACGCCAGGTCCACACATGTTTTGTAAACCATAATACACCAACTAATGAATTTAGAAGATTTCCACACAAGCATTCCCATGTCTCCAGAAACTACAGTGTGCTGTGATTTTTGGAGCAAGGTCGGAGCTGTATGCAAGGACCACAGGTGTTGAGTCCTTTTGTTCTGAGACTCGTGTTTGAGATGCAGATGCATTAGTGTAGGTGGTTAAGCAGCTTCGAGCTCAGGCACATGACACGCCATCAGTGTGGGCATGCATTTCACCCAAAAGCAGGGGAAGAACAGTTAGTCCCAGTCACTGCTCCTCATAGCATTTTTCAAGTGCCTGTGTTCATGGTTTCCATTAGCCTTCACTGAAAGATACCATCTCAAACCCTCTCTTCATCACTTGGGCTGGCTAAAGAAGCACAAAGCAATCGAAAACATTTTACAAGAACTAAACAAGTCAAGCTCAGGTAAACAATTAATAATTCTGGGGAAAAAAAAAACAAACTAGCACCTAGCTTATACAGAAAGGGAAACACACAAAGCTACCACCATTTGCTACGTTTAACAATCGCATGTCATTAAACTTGAGCAGTGTTCAGATCTTGCAGTTTTCCGTATGACTGACAAAGTCTAAAGGGGATGTTTCAAAAACATTTCAAAAGCCCAGATGACTAATGAAGGGGAGAACTGGTCCTTTTGTGTAGCAATCTTTCACTTAAATGGCTTGAAGGAGCATAGACAAATACTTGAAGACCGAAAGGGTCATAAATAAAACCAAGACTCCTTGTCTCACTCGCTCCACAGCCCACAAGGATTCCGATGTGATGTAGTCAAGCATTCAACCACCAAACACATGGTGAGCCAGGTGATTCGTATTGTTCCTTCCAATTCAGTCTATGACTTAGGTCAATGGAATTTTTCAAGAAAGGGGTTTTTTTTTTTCAAAGTTGTTGTTCACACTATGTCAAAGGACATGGTGTTCTCATCTATCTTAGAGACATGGCAAAAAAGCTTGCAATGAATCCATCTAAGAACAAGCTATGGGCATAGACAATACAGTCATAGGTAGATAATAGGTAGCTGGATAGATGACAGATAATTGATAGGTGATAGATAGATAATTGATAGGTGATAGATTACTGATAGATGATTAATCAGTTATAGATGATAGGCAGATGATAGGTGGACAGATAGATAATAGATAGATGATAGACAGATAGGGGATATATAGATGATCGATAGACTGATTGATGGCTGATAGGGGATATATAGAGGACTGACAGACAGACCAATTGATGGGTGATAGATTTCTGGTTTTGTGTGTCCTTTACTAAAATGCTTGTTTCACCCAGAGCTTCCATCTGTACCTTGTCAGAAAGCTCTTCCCAGCTAAGTCCAATTCCCTACCTCTATGGGTCTCTTTACACAGTGTATTTCTGGTCACTTGACAAGTATTGAATGTTCCAATCAAGTGTCTTTCCATTTATTTAGTCTCTCTTACCAATAATGTGTATCTTTCAGAGTATCCATTTTACATATTTTCATTAAATCTATTCCTCGGTCTTTCATTCTTTTTTAAATTATTATAAATGGAATTATTTTTCCACAGTCCCACTGTGGACTTTTGTACACTGTCCTTGTCTTCCGTCACCTCACTAAACTGATACCTGGGATTTTAAATCTGGAGTGATGGCAATGTGCA